TCTATTTCCCCATCCTCATATAATATATTTGTATATGTACATGTCTTTATCTAGAGCTCTATAAATATCCTTTGCCTCCCAATATACATATATTTTTAAACTGTTTTTTTCTCAATATGATTTCATATACTATTTCTGAGTAAATGGGAATAAGAGGAAATAAAGAATGTATTGCAATGCTGCGAGATTCATTGGTAACTAACAGCAGTGTACTTCTTCAAACCAGGGTCAACTTGATTTAGTAAATGTATATGAAGCATCTTTTACTTAAGCGCTCATAGTGTTGGATGATATGCTGTAGTGGAAGAGCTGGTGCCCTGAGAGTTCTAAAGCCTGCATTCTGTACAGCAGTGGTTCTCAGCCTTCCTAATGCTGCAACCCTTTAATACAGTTCCTCATGTTGTGGTGAGCCCCAATCATAACATTATTTTCAAAAATAATTATTTTCATTTCTACTTCATGACTTTAATTTTGCTACTGTTATGAATCGGCGGCCCCTGTGAAAGGGTATTTCAACCCCCAAAAGGGTCGCAACCCACAGGTTAAGAACTCTTTGTTATAGGATCTGACCCTCTTTAGACCCCGGTATCATCTGTAGAAGGAGGATTTGATCTACTAGATGATCTGCCAAGTGTGCTTCTCATTCTAGCCTTCAATGTCCTAAGGACTTTAGGCCAAAAAAAAAAAGTAAATTGAGATTAAAATAGAAAAATACAACCTTACATTATAAGATTGCTACCCCCTTCTAAGAAAGGTTACTTTGAAATAACAATGATGATGATAGTGATAATAATGTAAAAGAGTAATAGAAAAGATTTATCGAGTCTTTGCTGTATAGTGGGCTCTGTGCTTTATACTTTACATGGATTAGCTCCCTTAATTTTTATAATAATCCCTTGATGCATGAGCACTAGTATCCCTATTTATTATCATTGAGACTTGGGAAAGTTAAGAGATGCGGTATACAAGATCAGTTAGATACAGGCTTGAATTTGCGCAGCGTAATCTCTACATTCAGGCCTTAACCATTGTGATAATACTGCCTGCCCATTATCCACAGCAAGTTTCGGGATATGTTCAACGGGTACACTTGTTTCTTACTACCCAAAGCAAAGCCTTGGGTTGCAAGGCTTAGAAGAGAGGAGTTCTGTAGGATGATCCAAGCCACACTGTGGACCAACCTCTCACATTGTAATTGGGGTGAAGGGAAGGGGAAGACAATATTTTTGTTTTTATTTTTGATGTGTGTCTGCATGCATGCGTGTGTGCGTGCATATGCACGTGCGTTTTTGTGTGTGTGTGATTCATGTACAAATTGTGCACATATTTATGGAAAACCTCGAACTGGCTTCTTTCCATTTACCTGGAAGGAAAATGGTATGAACAAGTTGACCAAATTTATCAGAGAAACATGATCCCTAGACTTTGGAACCTGCATCCTGGCTGTTGGGTCAGAATAGGAAGAGCAGGTAGAAGGACCATAAAGAAGAATTTCAAGGCATATTTAAAAATTTATTTGAAGAGTGGAAATTTGGTCTGCCCTGGCCACCTTGTAATGGTGATTTTTCTGAGACTTGGTCTGGGAAACATCTGAGCTCTCATATTGGCTGAACTTCCCAGGCATGGGAGAGGTTAATGACTACAGGTATGCTGGGAGAGGTTATTGACTACCCATAGTATAAGAATTTCATATGGCCCTGTGGTTCTATTATTGTTACAGATAAGTTGAATATATATATATTTTAAAGGGAGAACCACAGGTATCCATTCTTTCCCAAGCAAGTGTACTCAAGGACAGTTTGTGTGTCTAGGAGAAACCAGGTTATTTTATTGATTGAGAATGACGTCAGACTTTGGCAGTGATGTGATTCAACTTTTAGGTGGATAGAATTTTTCTGGATTCATACTATTTTAGTTTTTTTTCACATGAGACTGGAAATAGGTTCCTTTCTTCTCGCTAATAAATAAAAATATTAACATTTTTCTCTTTGTTTCTTGATGCATGAATGAACATAAGTTCTTTAAAAAAAATCAATAAACTGGAAAGGACTCTTCACAGTTTCTCTCTCTCTGTCTCTCTCATAGAATAAAAAAAGCCCTGAGATAGGGAAAGAGGAATGATCCATGTCCAGTTGACAGAAAATGATTTGAGGTTGAAATGAATAATGATGAGGGAAGATACAATTAAGGGAAGACAGTAAGACTTTCAACAAAAAGTTTCTTCAGTGAGAAGTTTAATGTGAAGAGAAAGTCAATCAAAATTGGCACAAATAATCTAAGTCATACAGTGAAAGATTTATGTGGTGGTTTCTCTCTAGGGACTCAAATGTAAGAGCATTAGGTTGTTTTCTGCTTGTTTCTGTTTTAAGAAAAATGACAAATGTTTTGTTCAGAATTGGACAAAAGAAGTACCATTGTTATTTACCATCGCTGTGCTAACAGTCCAGCTTTGATTCCAATTAGAAGTCATTCCTCTGCATTTCAAGTAGAGGAGACACTAAAATAATTACCTTGCAGATTGGAGGCAATTTTGCTTTTGATTATGATTATGCACTGGTCCAAAATAAGATGGAAAGACACATTTCTGTGTTTGTTCACTCTATATTTGTTCACTTTATTTTTGGCAACATTGCAAAGAAGTAATGTTAAATTAATTATTGTGGTTTTGTAGATTTTTTTAATTAAAAAAAGGAAACGAACTCGAATGTTTGGGCCAGGCTCCCCAAATGCAGAGATCCTCGTGTGCTTCCTTTGATCTGCAAATGGAGCCTTTGCTACAGATTAAAGGCTTGTGTTAACATGATACGAGTACGTCCTGGCTGAGGCCAGGACAGAAGATAGGAATGTGGTTCATGTGTACCTCACCCAATTGTAGACTTCTCAATATTATAACCGTTTTGGTTGGACCAAAGCAGATAGTGGAATAAGGATTATCTCAATCCAGGCCTACTGAGCATTTGCATCTTGTCTCTATGAAGTGAGTAGTTTCCATTTGCTGAGATACTAAGGCAGCGGAAGCACCGAGGAAACAGTGAATGCATGTTCCATTTGGAGAAGGGTTGTTGCTCTGTTGTTGAGAAGGCCAATTACCGTTCCTACCTCCATGGATGGTAAGAGTGGATTGTAAGTGCTGCCAGAGCAGGAGCTGGGTTTTGTCTTTCGTATCACTCATTGTGTCTCACATGAGTTTGGGGAAATGTCTGGAACAGTCACTGTGCCATAAACATTTAAGAACATGGTTGGGGGGAAAAGAAGTTTGTTTGTTTTCCCCTTGCCCAGAGGAGGCTGAGTCTATTAAATCGGGAGCTTCAGTGTTATTTTTAACCCAAACCTACCGTATTAGGATGTCCAGGCTGTAGGATAATGAGTTTCATGAACCTGCTCTAATGCTGATAGCAATCTAAAGTTGCATCTTAAAGGTGTCAGTGAATATGGCCATGCCAACCCAGAATGCAAGTAGAGGCTTTCTAGTCTGTGAGGCTAGAGCAAAGCAATCTTTTTCAGTTTCAGATGTGACTAGTGACTGCACCCCTTTCTTTGTTGCATGAGTGGAGATGCAATTTGTCGCTCATTAAAAGGCAAGCACACCATATGACATGTTATCTCTTGGAAGAACTGCTTTGGTTATCTGCTGGCCGTTGGTGGCAACATAGAAACATTTTTATTTTTCCCTCCCTATCCTTCCTGAACATTTCAGAGTGACCAGTGGTTGGACACTTGACGGCGCTTACCCTGAACCTGAGTGTTAGGGGAGAGGGAATCTGCCGTTGCGGTCTCTGGAGCTACTCCTAAGCAAGAATTCCCTATCCTGATCAAGGCTTTAAGCCTAAAAGAAAGCAGAAATAGGTATGGCTCATCGGTGTGTATGAAGTGCGTGGGTGTGTGCATGTGTGTGCGCAGGGTGGGGTGGATGTGGAATAGGGAGGGGGTGGCATATTCTTTGGGGTCTAGAGCAGCTAAATGTCTGTATTTTTCTGACTTGCAGGAGGGGTTTGTTTATAAGTGATTTTTTTTAAGCATATAACTTCCTGTTTTCAATTTTTGAGAGAGGTTTAAGTAGTCTGGTAATCATCTCTCCCTGTTTTAAGTACCAAAAGAGATCCGTATGGCATGTAGGTTTATCTGTCCAAAAATTTCGATTTGGCAGCTCACACAGAGGAATCTTGAGGGATCGCTGCGAGAGGAAAAACATACTAGAAGTCATGTGGTTCAGCAAAGAATATGATGATTTACAAATGGCCTTTAGGAGGAGGATTAACTGGACTAGTATTCAGTGGAACAATTGGAAACACAAAAGGTTAAAAAAGAGAGAGAGAGAAGATGACCCCTTTCATCTGCTATTGACAGACATACTCTGAGTCATTCCCTGCAAAACTAATGGAAAGAGATTTCATGCTTTCAGAGAGACTGTCCATCATAAAGAAATAAGGGACTGGAAACTTGGATTCCTGAGTCCTCATCTAGGAATCCAAGGCTGGCTACATTGACTTTTTTTTTTAGGTTGACCTTTAATGTGACTTTTTGTTTGACATGATATCCATTCTCCAAGAAGAGTTAAGATCCTTAGAATGGGACTTTCATTATTGGACATTAGGATTTAATGGCAGTATTTACCATAACAAACAGTTTGTTCAAAGATATGTGAGTTTGTGTGTCTTCATCATGCTGGCGAGGTAGGATTAGAGAAGAAAAAGATATCACCTACTACTCATTTTTTACATAGCTTAGTACCACGATCAGAATGGAACTCTTAAGTTGTCATACAATTGATACCTGTTTTACTCAACACATATTCCTTAAAGATTAGGGGAGGTTTATTTTTCAATTTCTCTATGTTGACAGGGGCATATTTCAAATGGACTAGTACTCACCACACACACACACACACACACACACACACACACACACACACCTTAATGCTTATTCCTGAATAGCTGAGAGAGAAACATTGCCAATGATAATTACCTTAATTGCCTCAAACCTTTATTTTAGTAAGCCCTTTATAAAGAACATGCAAAATGGACAATACAAAACTAATATACATTTTTTAAATGTTAGGCTTCAGAGTATAATGAAATCAGAAAGAGACATTTGTATCATGGAAGGAATCATCATGTCTGGTGCAAGTCAAGGTCTCTTCGCCTTTTCTTTACTTTAGTTATTATTTAGCATTTGTTAGCTCCTCGCACATTCCAAATTGCTTTATGAATCCTTTTCATGGGATGATTTTCCCCCACTGCCACGTCCCCACCTCCAAAGCCCCTTGAGTTTGATTTTAATGAAAGAAATAGAATACAGAGAGAAACTCTATTAAAATGGACTCAGGGAAATTATCCTTTTTGATCACCCTACTTGGCATCCCTAGGTTCTCCTAGTTCTCTTGGGACTTAAGATTGAATATCTGGCTCATGATAAAAGTAAAAGAGTAAATGTAACGCTATTAGGACTGCAAGTTCCTCATTGTCTCGATGCTAAGGCCAGGAATCTCCAACAGTTCATCTAGATCAGCTCTTGAGTTTACAATGGAACCCTATCACCAAGTACCCATGTTCTCCATCTTTAGTGGACTGATTTATCCATCAACTGGGTGTTAAGCTTCCTGTTTCCCCTCCCCAGGTCAAGGGCAGCCCAGGTGCCCAATTTCTCTCTCTCTTCACAAGGCACCACCAGCAATAGAGATGAGAAATTCTGATGACCAACCAAGTGGAGGCACCACAGTGTTGCAACGTCTGCTACAAGAGCAGCTTCGCTTTGGCAATCCTAATGAGAATCGCAACCTGCTGGCCATACACCAACAAGCCACAGGGAATGGTCTTCCTTTTTCCAGTGGCGGTGGGAACCCTGGTCCTCAGAATGATGTGCTGAGTCACCAAGAACACCACCAACAGCTTGTAGCTCATGTCGCTCGACAAGAACCTCAAGGACAGGAAATCCAGTCTGAAAATATCATCATGGAAAAGCAGCTCTCCCCTCGGATGCAGAATAATGAAGAACTCCCAACCTATGAAGAAGCCAAGGTTCAGTCTCAGTATTTTCGGGGCCAACAACATGCCAGTGTCGGAGCTGCCTTCTATGTCACAGGAGTCACCAACCAGAAGATGCGAACCGAGGGACGCCCATCAGTTCAGCGACTCCATCCTGGGAAGATACACCAAGATGAAGGACTTAGAGATCTTAAGCAGGGGCATGTCCGCTCCTTAAGTGAACGACTCATGCAGATGTCACTGGCCACCAGTGGGGTTAAGGCCCACCCACCTGTTACCAGCGCCCCCCTCTCCCCACCACAGCCCAGTGATCTCTACAAGAATCCTACCAGTTCCAGTGAATTCTACAAGACCCAGGGGCCACCTCCCAACCAGCATAGCCTGAAGGGCATGGAACACCGAGGCCCCCCACCAGAGTACCCCTTCAAGGGCATGCCTCCTCAGTCTGTAGTGTGCAAGCCCCAAGAGCCAGGCCACTACTATAGTGAGCATCGTCTGAACCAGCCAGGGAGAACAGAGGGGCAACTGATGAGATATCAGCATCCCCCTGAGTATGGAGCAGCCAGGTAAGAGAGTTCCCTTTCTGTCATTTCTCGACCTTCCCCACAGCCAGCTTCTTCTGCTGTGTGTTGGGAATCTTAAGGAAAGGAATAGGCAGGTGTTTGGTATAGCAAACTGCAACACATGGTTGGCCCCTTGACAGTAAATCAGCTGCCAACCTGAATATCTAGCCTTTTAGCCCTAATTAACACAATACATTTCCTTGGCTTTATAGGTTGAACATGACCACCGCTGCCAAGTCGACCAAAAGGAAGACACATCTTGATTTCAGCGGGTATTCACTGTTTTGTATCCTAAAATATTGAAAGGGGCCATGCTCCTCTTTTGAGTTATTAAATCCTGAGGAGTAGAAGCAAATTACCTTGGACTTTAGTCTTGAACAACCTATCAATTACACTTATGTCCTTCCAAACAACGCATCCCTTTTTTTTCCTTTTTGCAAACAAATCTCTCAGATTGCCATTAATTGTGATTTTTGTGTAGAATTACTGAAACATTTTATTTTATTTTTTATTATTTATTGTGGAAGGAAATGTATATGTGCATAGGTTCAAAATGGTCCGTGCTTGGTATGTTTATGAAGTCTGAATGGCTTCTTTTTCCCTGTTGCGTTTGTTAGTTGTCTGTCATGGTTTTATGTATCTGAATTGAATTCACACCATATCATATAGCGTTGCCAGTCAGATGTTAAACTGCAGAATGCAAAAGGTATCCGTGGCTTCTGTCCCACTGGATTCTTTTAAAAAAGCTGTTTCAAATGTTCAATCATTCCTAAATTACCCAGGTTAACGATCCCCCTTAAGTACTCAGTGTTGTCCTATTCCTGTATCGACTAGACCTTAGGATTCCGATCGTTGTTCCAGGTCTGACAAGTACGATTTCAGCCTGGGAGTTAGGGGAGGAGATTGACACTGTGGGCAACAATGAGGACGATTATGTGTCATATTCTGGCATCTTGAATACAAGCTATTTTGTGTGGCCTTAAGGTTTGAAGTCCCTGGACCTGGGCTAACATTTTGTCCTCACTCATTTAGGAAAAGGCCTCTTAACTTGAAGTTCATTGGGTTATTTGGGAGAGAAGGACGGACTGGGGGTGGTGGGGGCTGGTGGTGAAGGTAAAACTATGCACCTGGCATTTACAGGGATTTCAATTTTTTTTGCACCCACTTTGAGGTCCTGTGGCTTGTGTTGTGGTGCTTGTTGTTTTAGACAGAAGCAACTCACATTATACTCTGCCCCTCCTTGCTAGTTTAGGATCCCCCTCCCCCCATCCTTTAACCCAGATTGGTAGCCTAACCCTTCCAACCTCTCCTGTGCGGCATTCAAAGGGCAAGAGCCTAAGTTCTGATAAGTGACTTGGAACAGGAAATGGGGGAATGGACAGGGCGCTTCAGGTTGAAATGAGAACAAGAACCCAATTCCCATCTGCCCAATGAAACAAGAGATCCAGGGAGGGGTCAGTCTGTTCAACTGTTTAGCTTAGTGGAAACCCATTCAAGCCAACCAAATGTCAATGAAGCTGGGGGTGGGGCATTGTTTTGCTTTTCCCATCAGCATGGAACAGGCTGTGGAACTCCCTCCCATATGTGGATGGTTTGAAGCCTGTTGCCTTGTGGGACAGGGTCTGTTGGTAAGGGTTTGGAGCAGAATCCAAACCCCAGCTTAGCACATGGCCCCGCCTTCCCAGGAAAGCTATTTTCAGAACTCATTCACCAATATTGTTTGTGATCTGAAATGACTCCCGCAGTGTTTGAAGCTAGATGGCAAAGCCCTTTGATCTGTCTAAATAAATAATAGGCGCCCAAAGAGGATTTTTTTTCTTTTCATATTGTAGAAACCATGAGAAAAAAATTAGCTGCATGTATTTTACAGGAAGATGCTCCCCCCACTCACACACTTTCTCCTCCCTCCTAAATTATCTAGGTCGGTCTCTCTCTGTCTTCCCCCCTCCCCCCCCAAAAAAAGTAGCAGGGCCTATGGTGAGTACCCTCTCTAGAGCCATAATGGGTTTGGGGTAATAGCTTTACTCTCTCTCTGGGAGAAGAACAGAGTGCTTAATAATGCTTGATAAATAAGGAAATCTGAAGTGGTCTTACTTGGGGGGTGCTCGGTATGAAGATTGGGTTGGCTTCAGGCAGCTTCAGACTGTAAATTTTTTTGCAGGGCCCTGGGTGAGGCAGTGGCACCTGCAGACAAACTACTGGCAAGAGAAGATAACTTCATTAATTTCCAAAAGTGTTCTGTTTTCATCAGTGGTACTCCCCCGACCCCCTTCCTTTAACCAACTAACTCCACAGTTTGTGAGTTCTTTTCCAAGTAACTGCTGGGAGCACCAAACTCAAGTCTTTATTCTAAATCCACAAATTACAGATCATGATGCAAAGCAAACCCTTTGAACAAATTGTTGTGAAAAAATCATTGTTTGCTTTTAGAAGGGCCATGCAGTGCTGAAGATCTGCTATTAAAATGAGCAAACATTATAAGCAATTCTTTTATTACTTCATCTTCCCCATGTCCTCCTCCTTGCTTAAAAGAAAAAAATCCCAAATGCCCGAAACTTCAGATGGGGAACAAGGCCAAGGCACTGAAGAATTGTTAAGTTTCTTGAGTCCCCGTCCTTCTGAGACCTGAACCTTTGCTGGTTCCTGGGGTTGTACATTTATCAGCTGCTTTAAAAAACTAAATCATTTCTGTTTATAAAGCAGTCCACCTCCTTTCAGTGGTTGAGAGCATGCCAGATCTGAGGTTTCCTGAAATCCGTTTTGAGTGGAATCTAAGAGTGACCTCACTCTGTAGTTCAGTGCAGAGCTGGTTGTGCAAGAGGAACCAGCAGGCATTTGCAGCCCTCTCCAGCACTCACAGGCAGAGGCTAGAGAAGGAAGCCTTTCTGTGGTGAGAGCAAATTGGGTTCCAGGTTGTTGGGGGTGGAGGGTACCTGCTCTGGTATGAGTGAATGAGTGAGTGTGTCTGTGTGCACTCGTGTGTGGGCTTACACATGTGTGGATCAGGAATGTGTGTGTGTGTGTGTTTGAGGAAGGTGGGGCTTCCTGTAAGTGTCCTGGCGGGGTAGCAGGTTCTGTCTCAGCTGTATGCAGCAGCTTTTGCTTTCCCTTTGTGTCCTCACCTGCTTTATCTGGGAACGAGTCTATCTGGCATTGAGAAGAACACCGCTTTTAGCCATGGACCTCTGTCCTGCTGTGGGCCGTCTCCTCCTTCCTTGTGGCGCACATGTGGCCCAAGTTGTCTTAGGAGAGAGCAGACTGAAGGGAGGGAAGAAAGAGGCAAGGACACAGGTCATGGGCCTTCTAGTGGGCTCATGTGATTCTGTTGTTTGCAGGCAGCTTCTTGTTCATGGTGAATGCTTCAGTGGGGAGAGATTCAGGCTGTGATGTCGTAGAAGGAGCTGGGTAGCTCGCCAGGCTGGCCAGCCACCTTTATTAGTACACATATTGCCATTAGTGTTGTTATTTAATCTTGAGTGTACTCCCCCCCCACCCCCGCCCGCTCCCAACTCTCTCCCACCCCTGCATTTGTTTCTCTTCTGTTCTCAGGGGGAAATTCACACAAATAGGAATACTGTCCTCCTTTCTGTGTGGTGGGAGGATGCCGGGGTCCAGACTGAGTTTGTTCCTTGGAGGCCTTTCTGGCCTTTTGTGACCCTCGGAGTCTGAGTGCCCGACTGCCTTGGTTTTCCTAACACCACTGCACAGATGATCTGCTGCCTTTTGCAGCCTGCCAACCCAAGGGCAATCTGGCTTATCTCCATTTATCTATAGGCAGAACCCAGAATCATGATCTGAGCCTGTGCCCTGGGCATATCTGGACGCCACAGATCTAGGGGTCTCCTTCTTTCCCAGGCGCCTCAGAGGTGCCGTGTTGTCCAGGGCAAGAGACTTTCAATCTCCAGCCAGGAGGGTGACTAGGGACAGAGAGTCTGTTTGAGAAACGGCTTCAGTGCTTGATGTGCCCCAAGGGAACTGGAGTGGGCCAGAGGAGAAATCCCAGTTCAGAACTAGGCGTTCAGTCTTTAAAAGAGAATATCTCTCAGACTTCCAAGGGACAAAGAGGAAGGTTCATATGATGATTCTCCTCTAAAATTTCTAGAGCTAGAAAGAACATTAAAAAGCAGAAATGTAAGCACTCCTCTACATTAAAGGACTCCTGATAACATAGTGGGTTACATGTTGGCCTGCTAACTTCAAGGACAGCAATTCAAACCCTCTATGTGCTGTGAGGAAGAACGATGAAGCTTTCTGCCCTTGTAAAGATTCACAGTTTTGGAAACCCACAGGGGCAGTTCTACTATGTCTTATAGGGCCATGGTGAGTCAAAATCAATGGGTAACAATGAGTTTCTTTTGGGTTCTTCTACATTAAAGAGCCCTGGTGGCACTGGGAGTTAGGCCTGGGCCTGCTAAAATCCAAGTCATCTGTTCAAACCTACCATTTGCTGTTGGGGGTGGTGTGGGCGAAGATGAGGCTGTTTGTTTCAGTCAAGATTCACAGTCTTCGAAGTCTGATAAAGGGTCACTGTTTGTTTGATTTTTCTGTATTAGAGATTCAAAAGCCTCAAAATGAAACACACACACACACACACACACACACACACACCTCTTATTAAAAGAAGAAAGAGATCGCATAGTCCATGTTACCTGCAGGGAAACTAAAGATTTGCAGTAGGAAAAGTGGGTAAAGCCTCATAAAAATAAGTTTATAAAGCTCTTGGGTTTTTAATCGGATGAGTGCTTTGAGCTCCTGGAAAGAAAAGTCATGTGTGGTAGCAACTTTACATTTGTAATCATGAATAGCATGTATATTTTTCTATATGCAATTAATTTATATGTAATCTTTCATATTCAGCAATCATCTGTGTTGACATATGTCTAAAATTAGATCAATAGGAGAATGAAACCAGAGGCATAGATGTAACCAAGGGACAGAACCTAGGGACTGAGTGGATTTGAGGGCTCTTAGAAACATGTGGGTTATTGAGTTCCCATGAGCAAGTATTTTAAATGTTTTTCTAGCTGCAAAAAGACTTTTAATGAGGATCTCTTCTATGGATAGATAAAGGAACAATAATGCTAACTAGAATGTGTGTGGGAGAGATAAGCCCTAGCATGTGGAATGCCAGTTAGAAGTTAATTGCCCCTAGTTATTTGTCCCAGTTCCACCATGAATATTATGCAATTTCGTGCAAAGATTAAATGGATATCCCATAAGTAAAATCACTAACAAGGTCAACCTATCTCACTGGGAGGTAGATAAGAGACTCTTTGTAATTTCCTTTGAGCTCAGAAATGAGCAGAGCCCTGTATTTTTGCGAGTCATTTATGACCTTAGTAATGAAACGGAGGTTCATACCCATTAAGTAAATTGAGCAAAGTTACAGAGCTAGTAGAATAGGGTCTTTAAACTCCATTGGTATCAGTATCCCATACCCTTAGCCATCTGTCTCCCATGGATTAAAACATCTCAACTCAAGATCAGGCCTCCCCAGTACTTGGGAAGTATGTGAGAGAAGGGCTGGGTGAACTAGTTTGTTGTTTTCCGGGTATACTAACAGATGTTCTTCCTAGTGGTGGTGATGGTTGAAGGAATCCGTCTACATAATCTGATGGTTTCCCTTAGTGCAGGGAAGGGAAATCTTTTTTTCTCCCAAGGGCCATTTGGAAATTGATAACATCATCTGAAGGCCATACTGGTGAAACATTTAATGAACTCACCCCTAACGTGATGGCTGGAAGTGCTTCTCTGTCGTAAGGTGTGTGGTGTTGGTTAGTGTTGATGACATTGCTGGCCTTATATGGCCTGTGGGCCAGATGCTCCCTACCCCTGCTTTAGTGGCTAGGAGTCTGGGATTATGTACAAGAAGAAGAGAGGGACATTCAACAGGCTCCAAAGTTCTCTTTCTGAAACTCTCTATAAGCAATGGGCTGAAGAGAGGAAAACCGTGTCCAGAAAGCAGTGTATTGTGGTATTGAAAAGTCTACAAATGGGGATCAAGAACAGTGTCTGTACCCTGGCACCACCACTGACTTACGCTGTAAGATTTAGTAGGCCATTGCCCTCTCTGGACCTCCATTTCCCCCACGTCTAATGACAGGGTTGCACTAAATTTATTTGTTTGAAAAACAATATGATAATATAGCTTGCCTGTAATCCCTACAAATCTTGAGGTTTTCATTTTTCATGGGGAACAACAGTTACATTATTGATAATTATAACCAACAAGAATTCCTGCGTGTTAAGTATTCATTTTGTATACCATGAAGGGATCTTTTGCAAATATATGATCAAGGGGAATCTTCAAAATAACCAAAGGGGACTATAGATAGAAAAATTTAGGAAGGATTAGATAACTGTTGGATGTTTTATTCTGTACAAGTAGAATGCATTTTCTAAATTTAAATATTTGCATGTGATATGCCACGTATAGAAGGCCAGAAACAGTTTAGTTTAAAATAGCATGATAAAATTGCCTTCCGGAATAATTGCTTAAAATATTTAACTTTGTCAACGAGTGTATAGGCACTCATCATTTAGATTTGCACAAGACCTTTCAGGTCGTCTGCTTCAAGCCCCTATGGGACAATACCCTTCTCTGTTAGGTCTTTATGTTAGGAAAGTTCACAGAAAGCCAGACTTGGAAAATTCTGTAAGGGTCTTTGCAGAGACCGTGGAACCCTGCCTGCTCATCATTGTGCAGGTATACTAGGGGACCCTGTAACTTCCTCATCTTACTGTCTTATGCCCTGCTGCCTCCCCGACCCCTAGGCCTTAGTAGAGAACTTAACCTGAGCTTATCCTTTCTGTTTGCAGGCCCTCACAGGATATCTCATTGCCACTGTCCGCCAGAAACTCGCAGCCTCACAGCCCTACTTCTTCCCTTACATCAGGTGGTTCCTTGTCTTTGCTGCAATCTCCACCATCCACTAGATTGTCTCCTTTGGTCTCAACCCAAGGGGACCACTCAGCTCACCTGCCTAGGGCGCAGCAACATTACCTTCCTAATCAGCAGCATCAGGGAGATCACTACCGTCTAGCCCAGTCGGCTCTGAGTCAGCACCAGCACCAGCACCAGCACCACCACCACCACCACCACCAACAGCAGCAACAGCATCAGCATCAACAACAGCAACAGCAACAGCAACAGCCAGGAGAGGCCTATTCCGCCATGCCTCGGGCTCAGCAGTCATCTGCTTCTTATCAACCAATGCCTGTGGACCCTTTTGCCATTGTTTCTAGAGCCCAGCAAATGGTGGAAATCCTCTCGGAGGAGAACCGAAACTTGCGGCAGGAGTTGGAAGGATGCTACGAGAAAGTGGCAAGACTGCAGAAGGTGAGGCCCCCATGTAGGGATGGTAAGTCTCCTTTAAACCTTATCCGTGGGACTTGTTTCATGTAAATATGAAAGTTTCCATTTGTGGGTACCTGCATTATTTATGGACACATCTTCAGGGTTCTTGTATCAGAAGGTTTTTTATATGGATTATACTTTGGAAAAGACCTTCTTTCTGTCTACCTATCTAGGAGGGGTAGTATTTCTATGTGGAGGAAAATGAATTATATGGTCTTTCCAGGCACCATAACACTAAAGGAGATTTAGCAGATTACTTTAGAGTTCCATAAGGCAGGGAGAATGCATCATAAGGCCAAGAACACCAATGCTGCCTCCATAGATGACCTTTGAGCCAGTTTTAAGACTATTCTCATGTTTGTGTTTTTATTCAAATAATGAATTTACATCCTAGATGATCCACTCCCGCCCCCCCCCCCCCTGGTCATCCATAGTTCCTAGAAAAATCTCACTAACTGAAGTGAGGTCCTGCCTTGCCTTGTTCTGGAAAGCAGAGCTCTTTGGTGGGGGTTCACGGAGTAACTCTTCTTCAATAACCTCTCTTTTTCCTTGTTTTGCTGCAGCTCAAGTGGAACATCTGTTCTCTCTCTCTGGTGTGTGTAGGAGGCAGGAGGGGCTTAGCATCACAGCTGGGTGACAGGTGATAGCCCTAGGCTGAGGAAATAGGAAAAGGAGTGTGTGTCCCAAGTTCATGTTCTTTGCTGGGCCCCCCCTGTCGTCCACAGCTGGGATTTTAGCTCTTGAGTGTGCCCCAAGCTAGGAGACTTCGCTCTAGGCTTCCAGCAGCTTTTGGTGAATAAGGTTATGCCTTTGGTAGTCTCTTTGCCGCTTTTGTCATCTTGGAACTCGTGTGGTTTCTTGTCCCTGAAATGTCAGGGAGAGCAGGAGGAAGCTGGAGGAAGGAAGGAGTGTTGCCTTGTATTGTTCAGTAACTATCCTTAAACAACACCCAAGAGGAGAAATTTCAGAGTATTTTCAAAAACTGCTTCTGGATCTTAAACAGTGACTTATTGTCAGCAAAGTATTTTTAAGGGGAAAAAAAACCCTACCCTGCCCAAGTTTTTCCGAATTTAAATGGGGATTGTTGAGCTAGAAAGAAAAGATTGTTCCTCCCTGATGGTTTCTCCCTCAATTCTGGAGTTCATTTCAGTTCCTCATTTTAACAAACCTCCCCCTACGTTAGCACAATACATTGATAATGTTTATGTATTAGAAGCAGATGAACATGGTCCCTATCCCATAGTTGATGTAATAACAAAAGGAGTAACTCGGGCAATTTTGCAAAGAGATCTATGGTGGTTTGTGTTTTGGGGGGGTTGTTTTGTTTGTTTTGAGAAGGTGGACTACAGGAAAAGAGCAGAGCAGAATGCTTTGTTTGGGTGAGAAAATACTATCAAGAGGCATCTGCTAATCCCTGATGTTGGAAGGCCCGATCAGCCAATGTAGGGAAATAGGCTTCAAATAAGAATAATTGGACGAGTTAGGGTGTTAGAAGTGAAGACTAATCCAATGCTATAGTGGATTCAGAGGGACAGGTGGGTAGAAGAGCAAAGGGAAAGTGGGGAGTATAAAATAGGAGATGTCAGCTCGTCCGGGGGTGGCGGGCGGGGGGAGACCCAAGACATGGGAGGATAATACATTGTCATAGACTAAGTCAGAAAACCCATTGCCATCCACCTTCTTCCCAGAGCACGCGACCACTCCCCCTACCACCCCCAGCAATAAAAAGAAACATTGAAAATGCCTTTCTGTGACTTCCTTGCCTGGAAGAGCCTTTTGAGAGATATGCAGCTTGCCTGTCTGAATGGTGCAGCCTTTACACAGGGGAAAAAGTAAGAATTTGAAGTCGTACTTTGAACCACCTGAATAAAGACAAGACACCACCTACCAGGTGCTGCATGCTTGGGAGTGACTGGACACCCTTGCACTCTAAAGGCTGCCCATCACAGACCAATGCCAAACCTGCTCTTACAAATGGAAATATTTATTTTCCATCCCCAGAACTTGATGGAGTCAAAGCTTCTTGGAGCACCGGCCTTGCAGATCTTGTCTCTAAATGCCTTTCGTCAGTTTTCACCTTCTGTGTTGCTGTCTTGGCGCCATCTGCAAGGAGAAAAACACTTTCAAGTCTGCTCTTTTCTGTGGTGTAAGCCTCATTTCTTTGCAGGCAGACCACTCTTGGGCATAATGGTAGGAGCGGGACCAGGTTGATTCTGAGCTGTTGGGCCTCAGTTCTCTATGGCTATTTTCGCAGAAGTCTCACCAGTGGACGGCTTTAACAGACAGAAGTTTACTGTATCACAATTGAGGAGGAAAGATGTTTGGATTTAGAGCTAAGCTACCTGTCTGGAAAATGGCTTTCTCTGTTGACACTCTGTCCTTGTCTCTTCAACTTCTGCTTCCTGATCCTTCGAGATTTCCTTGTGGCCTGTCTTGACATCTTTCTTATTCCATCTTTGCTTGTACTTGCTCTATAATCTCTTTTATAGCATCAAAGAGATTGATAAGAGGCACACCCTCCTCTGATCCTGCCTGTTTCACACAATAAAGACAACCTATCCACAAATGAGATTAGAACCACTACTTTTCTCTCAGTCTCCAAACTAAACCCAATGCTATCTACTCGATTCTGATCATAGCAACCGTGTACACTGTTTCCGAGACTCTCTGTGTGTGTGTGTGTGACAGTCTCATCTTTCTCCATGGAAGGGTTGGTGAGTTTGCATCAATCACCTTGCAGTTAGTAGGCTAACGCTATCTGGTATTTCTCTCTAAAATGTACCTTACTGTAGTAGAAGGTAGTGCAGTCATTGAGAAGGAATGCAAAATTATGGAACATTTTGATGTAGGTCCTAGTGGCTTAGCCATTGCGTGGGGCCCAGTGAAACAATGCAAGTAGAAATAGCAAGATGGTGACAGAATGTGAAGAATTTAACCAAGGTCACCAAAATCATGTAGGTAGAAAATCTTCAATGGATATATGCTTTGTTGTGTATATTTTCACCAAAAAGAAAACTTTTTAATTGGGGTAGGATGGAGTGTGGTTGGTGCTCAGAATGGTTATGGAAGTCAAATTTTATCTGAACATTGCTTGACAATAGGGCATTGGGCTTATTTGTCTTAGGCAAATGATATGCAAACATCTCTGTGGTTATTATTTGTGCAGGCAGTGAAACTCTGTTGGTTACAAAAAGACCCTGGAGTTATTGTGTGCATACTTTTTCTCCTGGTTCTGGCTGATTGAGAGTAAGAGCCTTGCTCATTGTTGTTGCTTTCCCCCCACATCTTAAAGGATTTACAATCTATCATAAAACATAACTCTGATCCTTAATTTCTGTTCAAAAGTCTGTACTGGTTTCCCACTGACTATGAGGTTAAAGTCCAAGATGCCTGGCATTAGGGCCCTTTTATGATCTGACTCCAAACTATCTTTGCAGTTAGATCTCACCTACTTTCCTCTGTGTACCCCAGGGTGTCCAGCCAAATTAAACTACTAGTCATTCTTGAAATGCATTGCCTTACTCAGAATAGCATATCCTTCCTCTCACCTCTGTATATTGAAACCTGACCCATCTTTTAGTGGAACTCAAGTGCAACCTCCTCATTGAAATTCTGTCCACTTTTCTTATCTCCAGCCAGGAATAACCCCATCTTCTTCTGCACTTTATGAAACTCTTATGATTTCTCTTAGTAATGTGTCCATTCCTGTATGGTTTTACTTGATTAGACTACAAGCTCCTTGAGGGAAAAACTAATGTCCTCATTCATAGTTCACCCAAACCAAACACTCACTGCCTTCGAGTCCATGCTGACTCCGGGTAACCCCCTGTGGGATTCTGAGACTGTAACTGTTTACAGTAGAAAGCCCAGTCTTCCTCCCTGAGGGCTGCTGGTGGTTTCCTACTGCCGACCATGTGGATTGTAGCCCAATGCAGAACCACTCCCCAATCAGAGTTACATGCCAAAAAGTACTTTAAAGGAATCTTGCAAGTAATACCCACTGCTGCCTAGATGACTCTGACTTATAGTGACCTTACGCAGTTTTTGCATGGATATAAGTCTCTCCCGGGACAGAAAGCCTCATCTTTCTCGTGCTTGCTAAATTCAGCTGAACTGTTCGATGAGACTTGGCCTTAAGATTCTTAAGGCTCATCTCTGCTACCGACTTGGTTTTTTGGAAAGGCACTTTAATTGTTTTTACACTAAGATGGAGAAAAGCTTTCCTGGTAGCTTAATGATTAAGTGTTTGGCAGCGCTTTTGAAAAGTTGTCTGTTTGAACACACTACCTACTGCTCTGCAGGAGAAAGATGTGGCAGTCTGCCTCCTGAAAGATGCACAGCCTTGGGAATACTAGGGACAGTTTTCTCTGTCCCTGTATGGTCACTATAAATCAGAATTGACTTGACAGCCATGGAACTTTACTGTATTTTAATGCTCGAGAGAGGACTCCTTGCCTAAGGAGATAGCAGAACAAGTTGAAGACAGCATGTGTAAAGTTCTTCAGATGCTCTGCGGAAAAACGTCCTACATACTTCAGTATTAATACTTGACACCTCAGAGAACTTCTTGTTAAAATTTGAATCATTTATAGCTATATTTATGAAATTACCTCTGTCTTACTCTCATCATTGAAGACAGAAAATGTGTTTTGTTCATTTGTTTGTTTGTTTAAACTGAGAAAATTAAATGAAACAGTGAGTTAAAGCTGAACTTCGAAATCTCCTTCAAACATCTTTTTCATCTGTGTTATATTTGTCTCCTGGCCATCTAGAAAGCCCTGGGAGAAGCTTCCATTGAGGGTTTGCACATTTAATTTTAGTTCATTGGCCCATCAATTTCCTACATTGACCACCGTCTTTTCTTTTCTTTTCTTTTCAGGTGGAAAGCGAAATCCAGCGTATCTCTGAGGCATATGAGAATCTTGTGAAGTCATCCTCCAAAAGGGAGGCTCTGGAAAAGGCTATGAGAAACAAGCTCGAGGGGGAGATTCGTAGGATGCATGACTTCAACAGGGATCTAAGAGGTGAGGGAATCAATGGGCTTCTTCTTTCTACTTCCAAAGGATTGGTGAGCTCCTAAGAGACGATCTAACCCACTGCTATGGCTAGGATATTTTGTTGTTGTTGTTGTTGTTGTGTTTTTGTTTTTTTACTGCAATAGTGAGTTCATAGTCCCTCAAAGTAGAGAGGTTCATCTGAATCTCTTTCAGAGAGATGAACTGCTGTGTGAATCAAGCAGTATTTCTTTGGGACTCACCTACTTTGCTTCCACCATTTTTCTCACTTCCTATATAGCAGCAGTTCTCCACCTTCCTAATGCCACGACCCGTTAATACAGTTCCTCATGTTATGGTGACCCCCCCCCGAATCATAAAATTATTTTCCAAAAAAAAATTATTTGCATTGCTACTTCATAATTGTAATTTTGCTACTGTTAGGAATCGCGCAACCCCCTCAAAGGGGTTGAGACCCACAGGTGGAGAACCCTGCTGTATACTTTTAGCTCAAGGGAGGTCTTTGGGCTGTGCAAGCTTAAAATGACGATGTCTGCAAATTGTCACTTCTGGAACTCCCTCCCTTTAGCTTTACCTTTATATGAAAATATTGAAGACAGTAAGATATGTTTCTTCTTTTAATCCCCTCCAACGCATTCACCACTAAGGACCATGGGAAAGTAATTGTCTAATTTGGGAGTTGTGGTTATCTGTGAAAGGAAGGGGCTGAGTCAAACACGAGTTGGAATTGATTCCATGGCAACAGGTTTGTGTTTGCGTGCTTTTGTTGATTTGCTTACTTGTTTTCATACTATCTGCTATTCACGGTCTCATGACATATGGTGTTACATACCTTATAACGCTTATGCTCCTTTTCCTAGTTGATAAAATATATTGTTATATACTAAAGGATGGATTCCTTTATTGGCATTGAGAAGTCTACACTTCCAGTTTTGTCTGTGAGGCATGGAAGTATTACTTACTCAGCGTCTCTGTCCTCACGATGGTCTGCTTTCATTTGCATACCTATGTCTGTGTCACTCATTTCTCCTTAACAAGGAGAAGAGGACTTGTTGGTCAAAGGTCAGTATTTAGAGGACAAACAGCATGTGCTTGGAAGTTTGATTGTCTCCAAATTCCACAGAACGTCTAGAGACTGCCAACAAGCAACTTGCGGAGAAAGAATATGAGGGGTCAGAGGATACCAGAAAAACCATCTCTCAGCTCTTTGCCAAAAGTAAGTATTAAAGCTTTGGGAGCAAGTATTAACGAGCTAATGGAAGTAAAGCCTTCTAGAATAGCCAGGGTTGACAATATCATCTTAGAGATTATTTTTTTCTGTTCAGGAATGAAGTTTAGAAGGTTCTGTTCTTTTCTGTCTAGGCCAAGCTGGCTGCTTTCCACAACATCTACTCTCACCAACATTGCTCATTTTGTTTTAAATCAGAGAAATAGCTCTAATTCTCTGCTCTTATCATGGCTAGTTGAAGAAAAAGACCTTCGGGAACATCCAGTTCCTTAATGCTGAAGAAAATTTCTTAGAGGGCTCCAACTTCTTAGGCTGACTCTGGTAGAGACGAGATTAACCTGCATATTGAAAGGGGAACTAGAGAGGAGCCACTGCTATTAACTGAACCAATAAGAATCACTCTGGTGCAGGGTTGGAAGATGTGGAAGAGGTCAGAGCTATTTCTTACTCATATCATAGGGCGTCCTTTGTCTAGAAATCCTCCTAGGAGCCAGACAATGAATTGACCCTCTTCTTTTATCAGTCCGTAGTATACTCTGTCCCATTAGACCAGCAGTTCTCAACCTGTGGATCTCGACCCTTTTGGGAGTCGAACTACCCTTTCACAGTGGTCACCTGATTTATAACAGTAGCAAATTATAGTTATGAAGTAGCAACAAAAATAATTTTATGGTTGAGGGGTCACCACAACATGAGGAGCTGTATCAAAGGGTCACCGCATTAGGAAGGTTGAGAACCACTGTAGTAGACCATATCTAATTTTTATTCCAATTTATGTGTAGTAAATAGAGAGTTAGTTGGGGTTGAGGTAGGAGACAATGGATGAACTGCTCTCGTGTCTACAGATGCCCACACTGTATTTCTCTTATCTGTGTACTTCCAAGATACAGTTGTGCTTGGTGGGGACTCAGAAGTCGTCATCTTTGCTGTGCCTCCAAATAACTCTTTAAAGTCATTCCCTGCAGCTTCCAGTCAGCATTCATACAAGTGTGTTTGATCTTCACTAAGAATATTGCCCTCTCTTCCTGGGCTGTTCACTGGTGCTCTGGCTTTAGAACGGAATTCTTTTTGTTTTGGTATTGTATTGTTTGTTTTGGTTTTGTTTGTTTTTTTGGTTTTATGTTCCCTTCCTCCTTCCGCGCTCCTCCAGCTCCTTTGTCAGTATATCTTAGAGGAAGGAATGCAGTGTTTCTCATGTCATCAGTGCCTAGTGTACATTGCTTAGTGGTAAAGTTGCTTTTGTAGTGTCACAGTTACCCTGGAAGCTAGCTCACTGGCTGAAAGAGGGTGGCAACTTCCCAAGATAAAACAAAACAAAATATGGAGTCTTGCCCTGAACTTCTTGTTGATACTCTTCTCTGTGTGGGGATGCTATTTCAGGTGTCCTAGGAGCTCCTCTGCTGCTTTATAAAATGTGGTCAGTTAGTAGATCAAACTGCATTCATCGCCGGGGGAAAGACTGTCAAATGGCCTGAAAAAGAAAAAGGAAACTCCATCAACGAGGAAGAGAAGAAGGCAGGATTCTTGGCCTCCTTACTTTCTTTGGCCATCGAGCATTGGCAGGGGCCTGTATAGTGGGAACTGGGGCAGGAGGAAAAGAAAGAAACCCCCCTTGAAAAGCCTTCTTAGCAAATGTGCCCCAGCAATTCTAAAGAGGACCAATCCTAGGAGAAGGAAGGCGGCCAGAGTTTATAGAAGGAGTTTAGAACAATCTGGGCTTAAATATGGGCTCCATTATTTGTTTACCCATCACAGGCCCTATGCAAGTGATGTCACCTCTCCAGGTCTCTGTTTACTCAAATGCAAAATAGAGAAGTGAATAATACCATCCTTGTATGGTTATAGTGAGGATTCAGTGAGATATATATCCAAAAGCATTCAGCACAATGCCTGATAAGCAACAGAGCAAATATTTATTTCCTTCCAACACATATCTGAATAGGTATGTAAAGTCAGAGTGAAGAGGCTGGTGAGGCTGCCCCTATTACAGTTTTTTCTACAAATTGTATGCATCTCCAGAAAAAAGGTACTTTACCTTCAAATTGGAATCAAAACCATCGGTTTGAGTGTAAGACAAGACTGGATTCAGAAAGTAAGAATTCCTAATTTTATACATCAGGTGAATCTCAAACTTATTCTAAAAACTAATATACAGAAGAAGAAGTACAAGCCAGAATCCGTCAAATCACAAAGAAAGGCGTGGTTCGAAGCTTCAGGTTCTCTATAATTATTGATCATGATCATGATCACTGTCGTCATTCCTGTTTTAAAAGAAGTGAAATGTAGACACTCGCACTCGCTCCTGTGTTTGAGGTTACCATTCTAGCTACAGTGCTCCATCCATCCCATTACGGGTTTTTCTCTGTTTTATTGACCCTCTACATTACCAAACACAATATCCGTCTCCAGGGACTGGTACCTTCTGATAACATGTTAGAAATAAATGAAATGAAGTCTCGCCTTCCTTACTTCCAAGGAGCATTCTGACTGTTTTTCCAAAATAGATTTATTTGTTCTTCTGGCCATCCATGATATTTTCAATATTCTTCTCTGATACCATATTTCAAAGACATCAATTCTTGTTCAGTTTCCCTGAGATAAGGCAATTGAAAATACCATGACTTGAATCAGGCACAACTTAATCAAGTTGACACCTTTGCTCTTTAACCTTTAAATATGTCTTGTACAGTATAGTTCCCCAATGCAATATGTCACTGGATTTATTGATCACTGTATAAACTAGGCCCACTGGCAGTTGCTATGAGTTGAAAATATACTTCATGGATCTAATAACATACACACACATACAGATTGCCTTAAAATTTTTTGTCTAAATTTCTAAACTCTATAAGTATTTGCTTCACTCTGCTGATTCAGGAGAAAATATTTTCCAAGTAGAGGACTCACCCCTCCCCGAGGTAAAAGAGGTGTCTATATTCTTCGAAACTTGCTATATTCCCCGCTGAATCTGTTGTGTTCTTGCCAGTGCTCCACCCAAACATGGCTTCCAGTTTTATCTCAGACCCATACTCATTGTAAAGGCATTGATTTTCCAAGAGAAGATTATGAGATAAAGGAGATTAAATGGTACTATTGATTTAGGCTTTCCCTAAAGAAGGCGATGTTGTTTAATAGACTTGAAATAATGTCTCTTTGCATTTTCAGTTTTTATCCATTGTACTAAATATAAGTTTCAGATCTCTTTGATACTTGGTCATGATGCAACAATGAGAAAACCCTTATGGACTCATTTTTTTCCCCAATGCAAGACTTTTTTGAAAAATTAAGTTGACAAGTCTACATTTCTAAACATACATGTGTATATATTTCTTTGTGTAGTGATTTTTAATATACTTTTCTTAATAGATTTTAGGTTTTCTTTCTGACTGTGCACAACAACTATTGTTAATTGATTTTTGGAATACACACAGCAAGTTTGTGACAGAGCATAAGATGGTAACAAAACTCACTGTTTACAACATGTGATAGAGTGTAGATATTAAGTGCCCTTGTTCTTAAACTTTGAGCCTCTTCCAGGATGTCCACATTGATATGTCATATCCTGATAGATAAAGAAAGTCAGCGGGAGAAGGAGAAGCTGGAAGCTGAGCTGATCACTGTCCGTTCCGCCAATGAGGACCAAAGGCGACACATTGAAATTCGAGACCAGGCCCTCAGCAACGCCCAAGCCAAGGTGGTAAAGCTGGAAGAAGAGGTATGGTGTCTTTAGATCACATGTGTGTGTGGAAGGTGCGGAAGCCAGCAAACCACAGGCACTGGGCTCTTTATTTCAGTGAACTGGCAGCTGTACCACCAGGAAGGTGCTAGAGACGACTTCTATGTAGGGAGGTTGTTTTCTCTTTTCTTCCCTGCACGTTCTTCCTTTTTTAGAACAGGAAATCACCAAAGTCAAGGAGGGAGGGCTCATTCATATAATAAGCTTCCCTCCTCATCTACGTCTAATCCAGTACTCACTATGTGCTAAGCATTGCCTTAAGCCTGTGACAGTAAGCTTTATTTTGGGTTAACTATAAAATTATCCCAGATAAAGTAAGGATTTTGACATCAGAATGGTCCTTGGCTCCCCAAGCTCGGTGGGAAATCACTGTCCTCTCAGGTGAAAAATGAGCTATTTGCTTTACCAGGTGCTTTGAGGACAGGAGCAGTTTATAGTTTGTGTCAGGAGAATATACTGGCCCCAAACTGTGTGGTGCCCTGGTTCTTGGTTCTGGCATGTGGTTTTGTGGTGGGGAGAAACTCTTATTTGGGTGTAAGGATGGATCATTCCCTTGACGAATGCTAAGGCCCCGAAACTATTAAGCAACTATATAATGAATGTGTATCTGATTAGTCTTGATGTAGATTTTTGACTGGTTTGCAACACTAAACTGTGTTCATGTAAAGTAGGAAGAACTCTCGCTGCTTGCTTTATCATTAATCTTGGGTGTCGGTTGTCATAGTTCTGGATTAATACAGAGATAGAAACTGTTTGTAGATGTTTTGCACTTCAGAGAATGGGTGTGTTTGAGCAAAAGAATGATGATGAAATGTAACTTGGTAAAGAAAATGTCACATTCCACTGACTTCCCTTATAAAATGTGAGTTATATTAAGGGAAAATATAGCCTCTTTATAACAAGTTGAGAATGTTTTAATTTGAGACAAAAAGGTCTTTCATGAATAAATCTTTAGCATTCTGGCCATTGTCTGTAAGGTATATTTCCTACCTTTTATTCATTGACTACTTCTTCTCATTTGGTGAGAATGGTTCTATTTCCTAGAAGTCTCTTTTCTTTCATTTTTTTGTGTATAAAAATGTTTATTGGAGCTAGGTTGTGAGGCTATATTTTTTAAAATAAGTAATGCCATCTAACCCACAATGCCCCTTTTCTTGAATTGTTTGTGTTAAACATCAGACCATGTAAGATTAGGTTAATGGTCTCCTTCATCTATTGTCTACATAAAAATACATAATTGAAAATGAGGGGTGCTTAGATTTGTTCAATGTCGGGATCTAAAGAACTTAGCATGCCCTTTAGTCTTCTGATAAAAACGCCTCATCTCTTGCCTTGCCTTCCCTTTGTGCTAGAGAATTGCAGAGTACATTACTGAATGGAGATAAGATGAGGATCTTTTAGAGAAAACGAAGAGACCCATGGAAAAGGAATAGCTTCTGGTGGTCACATGGCAAGTCTTGGGTAGAGCCAAGAATAAAACGGGAATCTCATGACTCTTCATTCCCTAGATCCTGCTGCCTGCCTCCCTGTGTGAATCATCCTTTGGTTCAGCTTCCAAACAGAGAATGTGGGCGCAGGTTCAATTTTACTAACCTCTGCATCTTTTCATTTTATTTTTAAAAGGGCCCCTCTTTTCAGCAGACTACGAGAAACTGGCCCAGACGGTTTTTAATTTTGGCATATATTTATACAAACATACATTTATACATACATACATACATACATACATGCATGCATGCATGCATACATACATACATACCCTCTAAGTAGAGGGCATATCCAGATAGAGGGAGGGTGAGGTGGAAATAAGGGCTCTGAACCATCTTGGTTTGCCGTGTCTGGAATCACAGTGGGTTCTGGTTGTTGATCATGAAAAGAAATATATGCTTATAGAAAAGATGTTCTTCTGTGGTTCCCATCAGGAAACCCTCACTGAAAGATTTGCCGGGAATACAATTCTAGTTTCATGCTTCTGAGACTTTTCTGGGCATTTGCTTCAGAGATTTTTAGTAGTTTTTTGAGGGCTAGCCCTAAAATATATTGATTTACAATATAAAGAGGAAGTTCTCAGTACCAAGCTAGTACTGAACAATGGAATCCAGTGACTAGATATGTCAACTGAGCAAATTAATTATTCACCTTTAAAAATCTTAAACGGTTTTATGTCTACTTATGTGGTTTGCATCATATACTTCCTTTGCTTTCTACCAGAGCTTAAAACGAGTTCAAAAGAGTTCAGTCGTGGCCAATAGAACCTAAGAAATGCAGAGTAACCACATCTTTTGCGCATGGCATCTTAACTGGGCTAGGGAATAGGGAGTAGAGCCCTGCTCCGAGATGGCATCTAAATGGGCTGCTTTGAATGTGTGCTGGCTGCCATCTTTGTGCAAAAGACTCTTTTGTACACAGGTCAAAATCCCTCTCAGAAGAGACTTGCTTACTATGCAAAGTGTACGCGCCCTTGGCCACTGAACCATTTAGAACCAGTTCTGAGCCCTATTTTCCACACACAGAATCTCAGAGGCCTTGCAATGCCTTCCAGACTCACACCAGATCACCTGTAAACCCTCCCCAAAACCCATTGCCATCCAATTGATCCTGACTGCTACACACCCTTTATAGGATTTCCGAGGCTGTAAATCTTTAAACAAGTATGTAGCCTTATCTTTTTCCCACAGAGTAGCTCATGAGTTTGAACTGCTGACCCTGCAGCTAGCAGTCTAGTGCTTATCGAACAATGCTAGGCTTGAAACCACCTCTACGTGAAAATCGATTGGTTCTTATTTTCCTTTTTCAGCAGCTTATCAGAGCTGGGTTTGCTCCTAGATTTCCAGTATCTCCCTTATAGTGTTCCAAGGAGACTATGCCTTTTCCTCATCCTCAAGTATATATAAGGATTACTCATTGGATTTTTGCTTTTCTTCTGTGGGTCAGATAACCCTGATTGAGCCTCACTCTTCCTTGGGTAACATTTATAATTGGAGAAACTGTGGAACTCACCTAGTAAGAGTTTCATATGGCGTCTTAATGGTTTGGAAGTTCTGTTTCTCTTACTGAGGAAAATGAGACATTTTCCTTCATTGTTACTCATTTACAAAATAAGTAAACTTTTATAAACTAAACTGGATCTACTACCATTGAGTCCATTCCAACTCATAGCGACCCAAATTAGGGTTGCCGAAGCTGTCAATCTTTATGGGAGCAGCTGGTGATTTAGTGGTGCCTGGTGTATTTGAAGAGCTAAGCATCAGTTAGCAGTTCAACACTTACCCAGCGCTTCATACAGAAGCAGACAGTCTCAGCTAGTGAGTTTGGACTATGGACCTGATGGTTAGCAGCCTGATGCCTAGTTTACAGTGCTACCAGGGCTTTTTTTTTTATAACCCCAACTCAAAAACAAAACTAAAGCTCAGTGTCATCAAGTTGATTTCAACTCATAGCATCCGCTTCTTACTGAATAGAACTACCCGTTGAAATTTTGAGGCTGTAAATCTAAGCCTAATTTTTTTTCTCTCATGAAGCAGATGATCGGCTCAAACTACTGACCTTGGCGCTACTAGTCCAATGCATAACTCATCATGCCACCAGGGGTTCCTTTATAAACTAAGATTGGTTTGAATGAATGGAGAAATTAAGAGTCTGTCTGTTGGCAAGAGCTCATTTAAAGTCATGTTTTGAAAGCTGAAGGATATGTTAGGTGATCTACACTTACGCTGTAAAGGAAATAATTATTTAGTTCTGGTTTATAAAAGGCACCGCATTAACCCCCTTTTATTTTTAGAATTTAGTTCGTCCAGGGAAAATCGTCCTAGTCCACTTGTAGCAAATCAGAGTTTCAAATTGGGCCTTTTATTTAGGAATTATTTTCTCAGTCTCCAGAAATCACGGTCACTCCAGTAAATATTTCTGATTGCATAAAAATGATGCAGGGAAAGATAGAGAACTATGTAAACAATCTGCGGACACTTAACATCTGTTTGTCCTTCTAAAGTCTTCAGTTAGGGAGATTTCTGAAATCCATTCCCTCGTTCTAATCCCATTAAGTGTCTTTCCTATGGTACTCTACACTCAGTGTTCCCCAATCATTGCACTGCAACGGTGCTTCTGGTTTACAGAAAACCCATTCTATGCTTTCCAAGTTCATCCCAGATGCTTTCACGCACCGTGCCCTGCTGATAGCCAAGGTGTCTTGCTGGGAAAGGGAGAGCACTCCAGCTAAAAATCAGACCACTTTTCCTGGTGAGTCATTATGTTCCAGGCCTTGATCTGCAGCTTCTGAAGCAGGCAGCCAGCCGAGGTAAATGGTGCATTTCCATCCTTGCCCTTATCTTTCGGGGCACGTAGGTCCTATTGAAGTGGAGGCTCATTAAACTGCAAGTCAAAAGAACTCTGTGTCCTGCGGCAAACATGGTATTCTCTCATTCAGAAAGCACCCCCCTCCCTTCATCCCCCACCAATTTGACCTCACTGAAACTTTCGACAGATGCCTGGCATATCCACTCACAAGGCTGAAGGCAGCCCAGGCTTCTAGCTGGCTGTTCTCTTATGATGCTCCAGAGCTGAGCCATTGCATGGGTAATTGTTTCAGGGATGGTGGGAAAAAGGCTTTGGCAAGATCAAAGAAGGAAGATGTTGTGGGTGGCTGCTTCCTGAGTGTGGCGTGCAAAGGAAGGGACAGAGTGGCGTGTGGAAAGCCTGGCAGAAAGTGCTGACGAGCCTTTTTATTTGGCTTTCGACTGGAATGGCAACCAGAGGCACTGGGGGGGGGGGCTCAAATAGGTAACCTTTTCTGAACTGAGATGGCCAGTGAGGACATCACACTGCTATCTCTTGCTGGAAGCCCGTGCGTTTTCTAAGGTTCTCTTGCAGTCCACTCGATTTTCCAAGAGGAAATTCATATCATTTCCCTCCTGTCCCCCCCATTCTTCTTCCCTTCTCTCAAGACGTCATGTTACTTGAGTGTGGCGTAGCCAGTCTTC